CCTTGGGCCGGAGGGCTCGCTCCAGTTCTGACTCCGGCCTCCCGGCCTCGCCGCGGCTTATGGTGTCTCCCCCCGGCCCCTCCCCGCCTGCCTCTGTTTCCCCTTCTCCTTGCTTTCCCTGAGTTACAGCGGCGGGAAGCCTTTTGACCCCAGGCTTTGGCGTTACGGTGACTGTAAAGCTCTTTAGTTTTGCTGGGTCTAGCGGCTCTGGCTTCCTTGGGCCCCTGCGCTCAAACCTAAGCGGAGAATCGCCCCGGCTGGTGCGCCTCGGTCAGTGGCAGCGCCCTCCCGTGCCCCGGAAGGTCGCGGGTTCAAGTGTGATCTGGGCACAAACCTAGGTGGCGGCTTAGATCCCCCTCTGGCGCTGACGGGAGGCAGCCAATCAGTGTGTCTCACATCGATCCTTCTCTCCCTCCCTCTCTAAAAACATAAAATTTATAACCTTAAAAAACACACAATTAAAATTTTTTTAAAAAAAGTGGAAAATCAAGTTGCCCCAAAAGGATCTTCTGGATCTTTCCTATCCGGTTTTTTAATATGCTCCTTTCTTTGATTAAAACAAACAAAACACAAAATCCCACTGACCTATCTCTGGCCTCCCACTCATTTCTCAACCAACCTGCATGAGTGGACCTTGTTTTGGCTACTAAATCCAAGGGACTCTTCAGTTCTTACCTTTCCTGAACTCTCAGCTGCAGTCCAGGGTGTTGACCACTCTCTCCTCTTTGAAGCGTTCTCTTCCCTCCTGGCTTCTGGGACACAGAATTCCTGTTTTGTTTTGTTTTTCCTACTTCTGTTGGTCCATCTGTGCCCCATGCAAACTGTTCTCTTTCTCTGGACATAACACGTGGGAGCCCTAAGCTCTATCCCAGTGCTTCATTTTTCTAGTCTGTAGTCTTCATCCTTTCTTACCTGCACTCACAGCGTCAGTGGCCACATACATGCATATGTCTTGTGAAATTGTATCTCAGACCTTGCTTCTGAGGTCCAGTCCAGATCTGTGTATCCCACTATTTAGTTAACATCCTCTGAGAGGCTTTTCCCCACTGGGGTTCCTCAAAGCCACCTCACTTTCTCCAAAATAGAATTCATGTTCTTTCCCCTCAAGCCTGGTCTTGCTCAGTGCTCTTTAATTTAGTGAAAGGTAGCACTATTTAGTGTTACACAAGGGAGAAGCTTAGGAATCACCTTGGTACCCTTTCCGAACCCACTCCTCCCAATATCCCGTCTGACACCAGCTCCTTTGTAGTGGTTAAAAGCGTGAGTGGGCTAGAGGTTAGGCTGCCTGGATTGAATCCTGGGGAGGATTCTAATTATGTAATCTGGGGAGGGGGAGGGCGATAATTAACTTCTCTAAGCCTTAGTTTCCTGCAAAATGGGGATAATAATACCCATCTCATGAGATTGTTTTGAGCATAAAGGGAGATCCATGTAAAGGACATAGCATAATGTTTCTCTCATAGTGTTTAACACATGTTAACTAGTATTAGAGATATTCACCTATTTTTCTTTTTATATATATATATTTTTATAGAGAGGAAGGGTGAGGGAGAGAGAGATAGAAACATCAATGATGAGAGAGAATCATTGATCGGCTGCCTCCTGCATGCCCCCCACTGGGGATTGAGTCCGAAACCCAGGCATGTGCCCTTGGCTATAATTGAACCTGGGACCCTTCAGTCCACAGGCGGATGCTCTATCTGCTGAGCCAAACCGGCTGGAGCTCACCTACTTTTCTTTATCCTCATCAGCCTGTCTAAGCGGCTTTTCATCTCTCACCTGACCTAGCCTTTGTCAGTTAACTAGTCTTGTTCTATTCATCCTGGCTCTCTGCCTGTTTCCTGCATACAAACCTGATCATGTTTTCTGTTACCACCCTGCTTAAAACACCTTAGTGCAAGCATGTCAAACTCAAAGGCTAACATGGGCCAAATAAACAAGTTTTAAGTTTATGTGGGCTGCAAAAAAACCAAAAGCTTCAATTTTCATAGAAACATAGCTTTATTTCGATAGAGACATGCTGAATACAAAGAGCTGAAATAAATGAGTAATCGTTAACATAAAATAATAGAACATTTTAATACAAATTAATATTTTTTCTTGAACGTTAACTTACCAGACACTGAATAACTGCACAAATTAATAAGCGTGATGCAAGTAAACCTATTTTTCTTGTTCTCCGAAAGATTTCCTGTTGCACACACCAAATAAGTCAGTCCAAGACTAATGACGTGGCAGTCGGCTGCTAAAATATTCACTGCGAGTATTAGTGGAGAGAAATGGCGCGCCTGCGTGTAAGGCGCGTAAAGGAAATGAATGCAACACGATTATAGTAATCAGTCATTAGCGAATGTTGTAGTTTGTTATTAATAATTATGTATAACAATATTATAAAAATAAGTTACAAAATTTTTATTAAAACGTTTCTTACATATCATTATATTGGCTGGGCCGCAAAAATATTCGTTGTGGGCCGAGAGTTTGACATGCTTGCCTTAGTGGCTTCCCTTTGCTCATAGAGACCAAAATACTTAATATGACCCCCTGGGCTTTATGTGGTCCAGCTCCTACCGACCTCCTTTTGTACCATGTTTTTGTTCCTTCTCTGTGCTTGAGTCACACTGCCTGTCATTACTCTTATGGGATTACCATTGTATATGCGGTAAGTTGTTGACTAAAATATAGTTATGCAGTGTATAATGGTATATCCTATGGTATATCACACCTTACATATTACCATATAAAGTTTTCAGAGTGTTATACTCATTCTTTAATTCTTCTACTAACTATAAGCAATTAGAATTGGTCTTTTTACTTGTAGGAAGAAATTGTTGGCCTTATGTTATTGGGAGGGGTGTAAATGCAAAAACAAAAAAAGCTATATAAATTAAATCACAACATGCCTCCCCCCACACTTGGTTTCTGATACTTAGAATGTCAGGATTGCACCAGCAGCTCTTAGTATCAGAGCTGGAAGATAAATAAGTCTTATAAATTGCTCCTTGCCTAAACAAAAATCTAAAATATTTATTAGTTTCACTAGTGGGTTCTACCTTTGGTTGAGAAGAGAATGGAAATTGTTGTTTTCTGACTTCTATACCTTTCTTGGAAGGTAGAAAAGCAATAAGATTAGGGTTGGATACTACCTTCAGGAAGCTCCATAGGATTTAGCATCTCTTTCTCTAAAGAGAACTAAAAGAGTGGACACATGACTCCTAAACCTGATTGGATAGTACCTATGGGTGGGATGTACTTTCTAACTGTATAATAGCATATCCTATGGTATGTCACACCTTATATATTACCAGTGTTCTGAATTTAAAGGACAATTTTTAAAATGGATAACTATCTCCTGCTTTAACCTATGCTTTTAATTTACCCAACACAGGGTAAAAAAAAAATAGGCTTTTAGTAGATTTTTATTGTAACTTAAAATTGGAAGCCCTAATACTTTTGAGTTATAATGACACATATATATTTAGTATTGTTCTCAGCACGGTTTGATTTTCTTAAAAGAAAAGTGGGGTGGGGGTGGGGACCTATACACGAAAAGAGACTAAAATATGTGGGTCTCTTTTTAAACCAACATGAAAAAAAAAAACACCTCAAAATAGTGAGGGAAATTTAAACTCTTTCTGAATATTTAAGACTGGAATTACTGTTAGATTTTTTTTAGGTGAGATAATGATGCATACTGAAAAACAGTTGAAATGATTTCTGGCCTTTGCTGTGTGCTAGGCCAGGGGACAGTGAGGGTGCTGGATGAAATAAGATTGGCTATGTGCTGATAACGGTTGAAGCTGAGTGATAGTGCATAGGGTCCCACTATTCTAGTCTCTACTTTTATGTGTTCAAAGTTTTAAACATTAAAAAAAGAAAAGAAAGATTTCCATCCTCATGATTGCAATCATTGATACATTTGCACCACTAAAAGAAGAGCGCTTTTGATCATTTCCTTGCCATTTTTCTGGAGAAGAGTCTCTAATAATTTTTCATAATTGCTTAAATCTGGTTTTGCTTTCATGATTCTTAATAACTCTTTTTTAAAGTCCTGTAGTCAATTAAGATATAAATGTTATTGGCCTTTATTCTTAGTGTTTGTTTTTCGTATTTTTGTTTATTTATATATTTTTCATAGTTGTGAGACACAAAAATAAATCCAGGTTTTATCCTATATAATAAAGAGGTAATATGCAAATTGACCGTCACACTCTTGCCCAAGATGGCCACCCCCATGTGGTCAAAGATGGCCACCACAAGATGGCCAGCAGGGCAGGGCAGTTAGGAGCGACCAGGACGGCAGGGGAGGACAGTTGGGGGTGACCAGGCCTGCAGGGGAGGGCAGTTGGGGGGGACCAGGCCTGCAGGAGAGGGCAGTTGGGGGGGGACCGAGCCTGCAGGGGAGAGAAGTTAGGGGTGACCGGGCCTGCAGGGGAGAGAAGTTAGGGGTGACTGGGCCTGCAGGAGAGGGCAGTTGGGGGCGATCGGGCTGGCAGGCCAGGGCTGCAGGGGAGGGCAGTTAGGTGTGACTGGGCCGGCTGGGGAGGGCAGTTGGGGGTGATCAGGCCAGCAGGTGAGGGCAGTTAGGCATCGATCAGGCTTGCCGGGGAGTGGTTAGTGGGTGATCAGGCAGGCAGGCAGGTGAGTGGTTGGGAGCCAGCAGTCCTGGATTGTGAGAGGGATGTCCGAGGGGTCCCAGATTGGAGGCTGGGCTGAGGGACACCCCCCTCCAGTGCACACATTTCATGCACTCACGAATTTCATGCACCGGGCCTCTAGTTAATTATAAGCACAATAAGATGATTATCCTCTTCTTTCTGTACTTTCCCCACATTTTTCCCTTCCTCTATAGATCTGATAAAATTGCACATTAATATATGTTTAGTTCTTTGAGATATTTATTAGCTAAAGAGAAAGTTAAAGTATACCTATAAAATGAACAAATGTGTGTAATTAATGTAGATACAAAGGTTGGTAGATACAAAAGCTCTTTAAGTGTTCATGTGTTTCATGTTAATGCTTTCACATAATTGTGACATTTGTAGATGTCAATATACCTTTTTAAGGTACAGGTTTTATAACTTTTAACATATACGTATATTGAAATCATGGCATTTTATACGTGATTTTTTTTCTTTCTTTTCTAGAGTGAGTCTTTGGTGGTTTGTGATGTTGCTGAAGATTTAGTGGAAAAACTGAGAAAGTTTCGTTTTCGCAAAGAAACAAACAATGCTGCCATTATAAGTAAGCTAAAAGTGATTGCTTCAGTTACATGGTATTAGTTTGTTTTTATCTTACAGCTACATTGAATAAACGGAACGTTTAGAAAGTAATTTAACTCCTCCTGTTTTAAACCCTTCCCCTTTTAGATCAGTTTGAAACATAAGTAACAGCCCTAGCTGGTTAGGCTCAGTGGATAGAGCATCGGCCTGCGGACTGAAAGGTCTCAGGTTTGATTCCGGTCAAGGGCACATGCCAGGGTTGTGGACTCGGTCCCCAGTGTAGGGCGTGCAGGAGGCAGCGATCAGTGATTCTCTCTCATCATTGAGGTTTCTATCTCCCTCTCCCTTTCCCTTCCTCTCTGAAAGCAGTAAAAACATATTTCAAAAAAAAGTAACAGCTAATATCACAAAACAGAGGTGCAGTATTCTACTTCCCCCTCTGCTACCTACACAGTGTTGGAGATTATCTTCTTGGTCACTTGGTCATTTTTAGTGACCCATGCATCTCTTTTAACTTTTCAGGGGACTAAAAATAGGCTGGCCATTCATCCTCAAACAGAAACCTTTGCCTACATCTAAAATGGTAAATAAAGTTCAGCTTTGTGTTCAAAGTGATTTGCGCCCTTATTTCAATTTTAGATGCAAACTCTAGTTTCATGCATTTGAATTGAAGCTTTACTGACTTCGGACAATGGAAAGAATAATATGAATATTTCCTCTCCCACTGTATTCTGTATATGATGTTATGCAGATTTCTTTTATATTCTTAGGTAATATTTAATCTGAGTAGTAATTTAGAAAGATGAAGGAAGGGGGGTAAAATGTAAAAGTGTATAGACGATGTTTAACAGAGCTGCATCTGGCAGATGTGAATTAATGAGGTGGTGACAATTTGTTCTATTACAAATAAACACTACAACATAGAAATACAGACCTTAACACAGTGCCATCTTGCCACAGAAAGGTAAAGCTATTTGAGATCATATTGTATCTCACAGGATTTACTGTGAAATTAGTGCAAAACCAAAAATGGCCAACTTTTCAGAGTGGTAGGAAAGAACAGGTATAAATGATCTAAACACATTTTAACTTGGCATTGGATTATGTTACATATAATTGAATATAGATATCACTGCTATTTGTAAGTCACTTTCTTAGAATCCTGTACTCATATCGCACCATAAAACCCTGACTGGAGAAGCTGGGAATCTGACGGTTGTTCTGTCCTGACTCCTGGCTTACTTTCTCCTTACGGTTCTAACCATGGTACATAGACCAATCTCAGTCACAATCACCCTTTCAGACCTTTCCTTATTATATAGGAAGTTGCATTTGAGTTACAAAGTTCTCTGTATACATAGTAAATGTAAGGAGTTGACATAAAGTTCTAAATAAGCAAAGTAAGTGTGGGGAATTATGGGTAAAAACTTCTAACTATTGACTACTTAAAAAGCTAAGCTAGCTAATTGACCATGAACTAAAACTCAGAATGACTTTTCTTATGCTTGTGTTTCTTGATGGTTTAATTTTAGATTCCAAAAAAAGGGGCTGAGACTCTGGGGTTGCGTAGGTTAAGGTCACATTAGAATCACAGTTCACTCATACTATATTTTTATTTTAGTGAAGATTGATAAGGATAAACGCCTGGTGGTACTGGATGAAGAGCTTGAGGTTTGTTTAATCAACTAAATACAGTTTTATAGTTAAGCAATTATAGCCCAAAAGATGTTATATTAGTTACATGTACTTCTAAAATGAGTTCTACACCTTTAAATATATGCTTATTATGCATGAAAAACATGTGCTAATTATTGTGTAGTGCTTTGTCTTGCTAATTTAATCACCTTCTTTAAAACAATGAATCAGTCTAACAAGTGGTAGAAATTAGGGCTATATATCCAATAATTACTGAGTCAACTTTATAACTTGCTTCTAAATTACTTGGCCAGTAAAGAAAAACTAAAACCCTATAACCTGAATATTTAGTTTGTCAAATTAAGTAATTTAGATTGAAAAGAAATTAATTTTGGCCCTGGCCGAGTAGCTCAGTTGATTAGAACGTCGTCCCCGTAAGCCAAGGTTTTGGGTCTGATTCCGTCAGAGCACATACAAGAAACAACCAATGAATGCATAAATAAGTGGGACAACAAAATCAATCTCTCTCTCTTCTTCTCTCTCAAATCAATAAAAAATAAGAAATTAACTCCTTCCTACCCCCCTAATTCAGATATGTTGTTTCTCCTGAGAGATTGGCTTATCTCACTATTTTCTGACAATTGGAATATGAGCATAGACTACTGTGCCTCTCAGCCCAATGTTTAGTGAATAAACAACTAAACCGAGTGGGCTTTCTTTAGATTGAGGATTCAGGAACCTCAGCTTGTGTGCAACTTAATAAAATAAAATTTTATGTTGTGGTGTATGTTTAGGTATTTATACTTATTGGTAGAATGGGTACTTGGTATATATCTTAAGGATATAGGTAAAAAATTGTTTAAAAGTTGTTTTTCTCTATTATGCCAGGGCATTTCACCGGATGAACTTAAAGATGAACTACCTGAACGACAACCTCGATATCCTTTTCTTACTTCTTTAAAGAAATTTGTTTTCTTTAATGGCCAGAATTTCATTTATGACGTTTAATTTTTCAACTTTTAGAAGACATATTTTATAAAATTTTCTTCTACACCATGATCACAATCAAATTAAAATATGTATGCACATATTGGACCAAGAAAAGTGAAAAATTGATTATTAGTGGGATGAATTATTTTTTTAAATTCCATTTATTATGTATTTATAATAAAAATGAGAAAGAAAAAAATCCATATAAAATTCATACTTTTAATACATTTATTTTTGAGAGATTATATGATTTTATAACTTACCATGGGGCCTATTTATAAATTTGTGGAAAGATAATGAATAGTGAAGGTGTGGCCTAAATAGGTATGTTAGAAATTTATCACTCACTAGCTCCCCAGGTGTGTATTTCAGAAGTTTGTTGGTAATTACTTGTCTCATAGAGCAGTAATTTTAGTTTCTTTAACTTGAGAAAAACCTTCATAGTCTATAGTTACAAATATCAACATGATGATGGAAGAGTTTCATATCCTCTGTGTTTTATTTTCTCAAGTCCTGTTGGTAAGTGAATTTTTTAAAATAGTGCATATTTGTTTCTGATCTAATATAAAACATTTTTTTTTATATTGGACAAATTGAATGCTTGTTTTAAAGAAGAAAAGTGTTGAGTAAACCTAAATTGAGTTGTGTGTGTGCACACGTGCACATGTAAATGTGTCCCTAGAAATAAGTTACTATAAAACATCATGTGTTAGAACTTAATTATTTTCCTTGAATAAAATCCTAGAAGTATCATTGTTAGGTTAGATCATACACACATTTTAAGGAATTTGAAATGTAATAACATTTTAAAATATCAAAAGTACATTTTCTCCTATATTTTAAATATTTTTATAAGTATGTGAATTTTGTGTGTAATAATGATATATATTTATGTTTATCTTTAAAATGGTAGTTGCCCATAATCCTATATTAATAAAAGGCTAATATGCAAATCAACTGAACGGCTGAACGACCGGTTGCTATGATGTGCACTGACCACCAAGGGGCAAACACTAAACGCAGGAGCTGCCCCCTGGTGGTCAGTGCGCTCCCACAGGGGAACGCTGCTCAGCCAGAAGCTGGGCTCACGGCTGGCGAGGGTGGGGCCCCCCCCCCCCCCCCGCATGATTTTCGTGCACCGGGCCTCTAGTATGTCTATAATCTTGATAATAGTCCCAGAGTAGCTTACCTTGGATATTAAAATGGCTTGTTGGTATTTAAGGTATCTATCACCAGAAGTCTCACAAGTACCACGTTCAAGTCCACAGTAAAATCTCTCCTTGAACTCTTTTCTAAATTTTACTATTTGTGTCATTTACTTAGCACTTAAAATACATTGTAGTATATTTTTAACTTAATATGTAATCAAACTGTAAATTTTCTTCAGGGCAGATCTCTCCTACTGACCCCTCACCATCCCAAAACCTTATCTGTGTTAGACATCAATAAAATTGAACTTGATATTTGAAGTCAAAATTAAGGAAGTGCTAACAAGTTTTTAAGTGTTTACAAGGATTTAAAAGTCAAGATCTGCAGAGTTCTAGCCTCATTTATTTTTGCTGACCTAAAGCTTATTTATTTGTAATTTAGCTATGTTTCTGTACAGTATGCAAGTAAGTCTCAGAATCACATTTAGACTGAAGTTTTTATAAACTCGAAAGAATAAGAAACCCTAAATGTGTCATTTTTAAAAAAGCAAATAATGAAAACCCATTGCTTTGTCAAAATCTAAGTCTCAATTCTACACAAATCTCTCCTTTCCAGGATGTAAGCCTGAACAACAAATGATGTATGCTGGGAGTAAGAATAAGCTAGTCCAAACAGCTGAACTAACCAAGGTGGGATTTATATTTACCTGCTTATTGAGACAGTATTTTCACTTAGAATACAGTAGTTCCCTTCCCTTCATCCACGGTTCCAGTTACCTGTGGTCAACCATAGTTCAAAAATTCCAGAATTAAACACTTTGTAAGTTTTAAATTGTACATGATTCTGAGTAGCATGATGAAATCTTTGTCCTGCCCGGGACATGAGTCATCCCTTTGTCTGGTGAACACAGTGTTAGTTGCCTGTTAGTCACTGAGTATGTGTCTCAGTTATGAGGTCACTGTCCAGGTATCATAGTGCTTGTGTTCAGGTAACCCTTATTTTACTTACTGATGGCCCCAAAGTACAAGGGTAATGATGCTGGAAATTCAGCTATGCCAAAGAGAAGCCGTAAAGTGCTTTCTTTAAGTGAAAGGTATATGCATAGGAAAAAACATAGTATATATAGGACTCCATGGTGTCCGCAGTTTCGGGCAATCCATTGGGAGTCAGGTGATAACCTGAAGATAAGGGGGGACTATACAGAGCCATGAAATAATCTGAAGAGTGAAGAATTTTTATGAAATTGAACATTATTTAGAACAGAGCAGCAAATTAGTCAAAGCTTTTTATTAGCTGAAAATAGAATGATAGAAATTTGAACCAGATGTGTGTTTTTGAATGGGAATTATAAGTTCATCAGAAGAAATCACATTAAAAATGTAGGCAGTTTTAGAAAAGCCACTGTAACTATTCAATCTACTGAGATTTCTTCATCTTCCATAATATAATTTCTAATAGATAAACGTCAGCATTGAAACCTTACCATAGACTGAATGAACCAGATTCTATGCAGGAATTCATATACAGTTAACTATATTGCTTCCAAATCTAAAGAATACTTAGTAGCTTTATTAAGCTAGAACATTCTGTTTTATATGAGACACTTGTTTTATGATTTATTATGTCCTCATTGTCTTATGGCAGTTTTGAAGGTTAGAGGTAAGAAGGGTACTTGCTCTTACACTTGAAACTTCCACATATTAGTTTGAGTTGAAAAAGTAGTTTATACATTTTAGATTTTGAAATAGAATATTACAACACTGAAATAGTGTTAAATAATATTTCCTTTGAGGTTTTTTAAAAAGAATTTTATTGATTTTTAGAGAGAGGGAGAGAGAAACTGATGAGAAAGCGAAATATCCATTGGCTGTTCCCAACCCCCTCGTGAGCACACACATACCCTCACTGGGGATGGAGCTGGGACCTGAAACCTGGGCATGTGCCCTGACCAGGAATCAAACCAACAACCCCCTGGTGCACAGAACCATACCCAGCCAATTGAGCCACACTGGCCAGGGTGTTGTTTGTTTTTAAATGTTTTTATTGATTTTAGAGAGAAAGGAAGGGGGAGAGAGAAAAAAAAAATTGATGTGAGAGAGAAACATATCAGTTGCCTCCTGCACACACCCGGACTGGAGGATCGAACCCACAATCTGGGTATGTGCCTTGAACAGGAATCGAACTGGTGACCTCTTGATGCTCAACCAACTGAGCCACACCCCCAAGGGCTCAGGTTTTATTTTAAGGACAGCATCAGTGTTTTCTCCTTGGGTGCTTAATCATCAATCCAGGGAATGTCTTTAAGTGCGTTCCACTTTTTCCCTTTGGCCCATATATGCTTGCCATTGGTACCACCAATATACCAGGTATAGACACTACTTTTCCTCATTTGTACCATAGGAATTCCGTGGAGTTGCTGTAGGAGCTTGGGTGGTTAAGAAGGAGCTCTGTTAATAGCCTCAAGTCTATTCTAATCCTGGGTGTGACCTAAAGTGCTGAATTAAGGCATTGCAATTTACAAATTACTTTTACAAATAATCCCTTTGAATCCTCACCACAGCCTTGTGAGGTTAATGGTGCTATTCCTGTTCTGTAGATGGGAAAACTGAGGTTCAGAGGATGAATGACTTGTCCAGGGCTGCATAATAATAAATGACAGAACTAGGGCTCAAACCCACATCTGGCCTCAAATCCCATTCTTTCTGCTGTATTTACATTTTCTCTCTATAGCCAGTACGCTTTCTGGGCCTGTGTGTATGCAGATTCTTGCTGGAGATTTGTGGCCAGTCCATCTTTATCAATGCAATCTAAGCCATTTCCTCCAATTATGGAGGACTAGCACATGTTCTTTTATTTAGCTTCTAACCAGACTGATTTATTTGGATTGTCTCTTTTAGTGGGTAGGATTTACAGAATTGCTCACTTGTAAGAGAGTTTTGGTTTTATGCCATCTTAATTGCTAAACTTTGGTAACTGAGTACTTAGTATTTAAAAAAAGTAAAGCACCTCCCAAATGGAATATCTAATTTATACAGATTAAGTCATGATCAATATCAAAGGAAGGAGAACCTGGTATTTAATGTGTTTGATTTTTTTTTTTTTAGAGTATCAGCATATAACCTAAGTTGTTGTTGTTGTTTTTTAAGGTATTTGAAATAAGAAATACTGAAGACCTAACTGAAGAATGGTTACGTGAGAAACTTGGATTTTTCCATTAATGTGAAGTTCTGTTTCTAAAGTATTTATGTATTAACCTGACCATACTGGAGCCAGACATAAATACTTATTTATGCCTAAAATGCACTGTTACTTACAGTTTGTTTCCTGCAGTAAAGAAAAATTCCTCATTTGTTCAAAGTTTGAGCAAAGAGGAAATCATCTTCATAGTAATGAAACTTTGTAAAATGTTTCCCTATATTTGTAATTGTTAGATGGACTACTCTCCAGGGACTTTTTGCACTCTTGTGACCAATTTCTATAACTTACGGTTCAGAATTTGTTACTATTTGCAGACACCATCGGAAATTGGGTATTGTGATAGACAGCAGTTGCCTCCTTTTGACAAATACTGGATATTAGCAGTTTATCTACTGGAAAATATGCTATTGGAAAATAGCATATTATCTCTTGTCAAAAAGTTGAAATTAATTTGGGGTAAAAGACTTGAGTGACCCAATTCTGAGCCATGAGTAATAATTTACTATAGTGTAACCTGCATTACAGCTACATTTTTCATAAATTCTATCCCTTCTTTGATTTCCTTTCTCCTTTTTAATCAAGTCCAGAAACTTTGTTTATCAATCACTCATTCTTAAGGTCTGGGAGTTAGATTTTATAATAATTTTGTCTATTCTTATGGAAAATAACATCTTAGGAATTGATGGGTTGTGACTAATCAAGGGCTTCATTCTTGTTTGTGTCATTTCTAGAGAGTTTGAATCTAGATTAATAACATCATATTTACAAAGCATCTCTTAATGTTGTCCTGTGAAAACTAGTTATTTTAAATTGGTTAGTACTGTGCCTTTGATTTGTTAGCTTTAAAGTTAGTTTAAGACTTTTACACTGCCAGTATTCTGGATTTGGTGAAATTAATACTTTTGTAAAGGGTCCAAGTAAAACAATTTTCTAATGTGTGTATCTGAAATTTGTAAAAGATCAACTTCATATTTTTAAATTGAAATTTCAACTGTCCACTTGCATTGGTGAATATATGGCAGTTGAGAGTAATAAATTTGGACATATTTGTGATTAATTTTGTGCCATTGCAAAGACTTACTTGTCTTAAAACCTTGGCCATAACATTAGCACATCAATAGAAATTCCATTTTATATCCTAAATTTCAGAAAATATTCTAAATTGGACACCTGTCTTGTTAGATGATGGCATCCTTGGCATAGAGCAAGAATTCTAATATATAGTGTGCTTTAAAAATGTAAAAGCAAATAAGCAACTGTTTAACATTAATTTGATAAAAAGTTTTGAGACTAAAGACTAACCAAATTTGGTGAGTGAATTCTTATATTAAGAATATTTTAGTCATTTTAAAACTAGCAAAGGCATTTTTTTTTATGTTGGCATATTTTCCACTCATATGTTCTTTGCATTTTTTGTTTTGAGGTTTCTGTGCCAACTTTAACAAAGAGGCAAAGATAGTTGGAATTTTCATAATATTGAATAGAGCATCTTCTGTTCCCAACACTGTTTGGCTTCACTAATCTAGAAACAGGAAGCAATAGGAAGTTAGTTGGAAATGAGGAAGTACTAGAGTGGGTATTTGTTGTGGTTGATGAATGAGAAGGATTTTTTATTCCAATTTCCAGGGAGAGAACATTACCCAGGAATTTTAAGAATTCTTTAAACAGCTATTTTGATATTGGAGAATAACGCTTATAATTCTGCAGAAAGGCAAATGTAATCCAAGTGAATTTAATGTAATCCAAGAGTGTTTTTAATATTTTGAATGAAAGAAATTAGATTTGTTTCATCTGCTTCTCAGCAATAAGAGAAACTAGTGCTGCAAGAATGTATTTTTCAATTCAGTTCCTTATTTTGTCTTGCTCACTTTAGTTTTGAAAGTCCTCATCATGTCAGATAATATTGACCTCCATGTGCAGAACTCTTAGTTCTCCTGTTTTCTAAAAGGGGCAAAGAACTGTGATAAACCATGTTATTTTGAGCTTGTCTGTTTCTTATCAATAACATGTATTTGCAAGACAATAGATCAAGGTTAGGGGATCAGTAGAACATTTTTTTACTCGCTCTGTCCTGTAGAGAGATTGACAAATCCCATGCTCTAGAATGTTCTCAGATGTTTGTATACATTTCTCTTCCATCTAACCAAATTTTGCATTGTTCTTTACAAGTACATTTCTTATTTGATATCTTTTTCTACCCTCTCTCAAATAATAACTCCAGATCTCATAAGTCCAGTTTTTACATTCCATAACTTTCTGGTACAGCCATTCCCATCAGCCTTAAATCTTAATCTTTCCTTTTTGGTAGCAGTTTTTTTTTTTTCCCTTGGAACCTCCTGCATGGTCTTCTAAATTAGCATCAGTTTTGAAATTGTTGGCCTTGCCTATGTCCTGCTTAGCATCTAATGTTGTCAAAATAGAACCAGCTAGTAATCATAGCACATTTTTAGTATGGCTTTTGTGGCAACAGAACTGACATGAAGAAAACTGTTCTCAGGTTACTATGCTGAAATTCCAAAACACCAGAGTTTTGATAGTAATCAGTTTGTTCTGGTACTGAAGCAGTTATGTTAGGAAAAAAAGTTGGTTGACTGACTGTGTTTGTTTAATTGACTTCTAAAATAAGTGTTCAAATTGTCTGTTTCTAAAAAGTTTACTAAATAGTGCAATTAAACATACTCTTGTTTAAGAGGGTATTGCTAAATTTTTTATCTTCATTACTAAATATTCTTTGTAGCATAATGTCTGTCAGCACTTTTCTCTCCCATTTTACCTCTTATTTTCAGAAGTCAAACGTAGCCATAAATTGTATCCTGGTCTGACACTTTAACTAAAAATTTCCTGTTAGAGGAGTTTATTGCCAAATTAAATTTGGCTGTCTTTCTACCCTACCCATATAGCTAGTAATGAAGGTATACTTAAAAAAAATGTTTGGACTACTTTAAAACCTGAGCAGTCATTAATCCATAATGTGGACTAGTGGTGAATAGATATTTTCATAAGGGTTTAAATGCTGATATTTCTTGGAAGCAGAGAGTAACTCATATTTTATCAATTCAGATATTCTTAGTATGGTTGCTTTCCCTATTTGTTCAAAGACTGATAATACTGGAATCTATAGAATTTGAGCCTTTAATACTTATGTGAAGACATGTCTCACACATTTCTGGACAAATCTTATTTTGTATTTCTGGAAGAATGTAAACCTTCTAGACCACTTAAAACCAGTGGTCCCAAGTTGAATATTCTTGAGAAATTTGTTTCCTCTTATGCCATTTGACATTTCAAATCAGTAATCATGTTCCTGTAATATTTAAAACAACTACATTATGATTATGATGGAAACTGTTTTCTTGCTTTTTTGGAATATAGTTCGTATACATATAATTACTTGAATATTATTTGAGATCACTAACATGCCAGGGCGGTTCCCGCTGACTTTGATGGTCCAATATAAATCTCATTCAGGAGGCTTGAAACAGTAATGGTTTAGTCTTGTGAATTTTAACAGTTCTCTGTCATCGTTTAACAAACTCAAGAACTGGCACAGCTTCTTAAGCTGTGGTTTCAGTCTCTGCTAGTTCATATTGCATGTTTATTTTGGACAGTCTTCTGTTAAGCATGGTGCTTGTACTGGTTTAAATAAAATGTTAACATGAAAGGACTTCTAGCTTTTCATTTTTTACTCGCCTCCTCTTCCCTTTGCAGTTACTGTTACCTGCCTGGCGCAGTTATGGCATTTGTGTGAGCCACACAGATATAGCAGTTTATTCTGAAAACCTGAGAGGGGAAAATAAATGGGAATCACTTGGCAGTATAGGATTGGGAGAGGGAAAATGTAATCTATATATATATATAAAAGCCTAAGCAACTGAATGACTGGTCAACATGATGCACACTGACCATGAGGGGGCAAACGCTCAATGCAGGAGCTGCCCCCAGGTGGTCAGTGCGCTCCCACAGCTAACCTCCCATGGTCTCCCCCTAGGGCCGGCCAGGCCCCATCGGCCCCTGGTGCTAAACCATTCCTGCCTGTGCACAAATTTGTGCACCGGGCCTCTAGTGAGATTATAAACTTTTCTAAAACTTGGTCTGATACTAAAATTATTTCTTTGTAGCAGCTGAGGAGTTTATTTCAAATGATGAACTTTGGCTTTCAAAGGGAAAATTAGATGTTGGAGGCACTGTGTACGTCCTAAAAAATCAAAATAAAGTTTCTTTTATTGAGTATAGTTTATCACTGTTTATTAACCATCCATTGAAAACCCATCCTGCCTTTATGATATATTATTCTACCTGGTATGTGTTTCATAGGTATCTATTGAATGAATAAAACTCACCAGTACTTACATATACATCTTTTGATTGAATATGTGGTAGTACTCACAGTATATTTATGGTTGTGAAAGGAGTGGTTTATGCCTTACCATCTTTGAGAATCTCACTAGGAGATTTGGCCACAGGGAAACGTGTCTTCCTTATTTCTCAAATTCGGCTACTTGGCCAGCCCCTAAATTTTTTCACCTTCCTTGTCTTTTGGCCCTTTTCACTTTTCAGCAGCAAAACACATTTGTGACCACTAACCTCATAGCATGGGCCCACTCTCATTTGCATAAGTGCACGCCCTGAGTGGACATGGTATCCTAGTACAGTATATTTTTAGTTATTTTGGGGAGCCAATTAGATTAAGATCTAACTGCTGAGCATCAGGGAGGTTTCACACAGTTCTCTAATCTTTACTCGACATCTGCTCGTAGGCTACATGAAAGCTCCCTACTGAGGTAACCCTCTTTTCTAATTAGAGGAGAGAAAAGGCTGAATGCCGAGGTTGCATCCAGAAGCCACCCTGTAGTGCCCAGACAATGCAGGGCAAGGCTGTGAGTGAGAGAGAGAAGAGTGTGTGCGTGTGTGTGACTTCTAGTCTCTATTACCTACACAGCTAAGTATAGATTCTCTTACCCTGGAATGTGAGGTCCTCTATATTTTGGCCAATTCCTTACCTGTAATGCAGAAGCCAAGCCCAAACAGGCCACAGCCCTTTGTTAGGTAGAAATGCCCCAGCCACTGCTTGCTGAAGGGGCAAGTCTTTAGGCAGCTGTTATATGTCCCAAATGGATGTACTTTCCTGTCCTCAACCCTCTCTCCACCCTTAATACACACATGATTGCTCGCTTCCAGCTCTGCCTGTTAAACCCAAGGGCAGCCTGCCTGTATGATGTTGCCTGACTGGTACCAGAAATGAGCTGGGCTAGTCTGTAACTATAAAGTACCTTCAATTCCTGACACTGGGGAGATGATCTCATTCTCTTGAATGAGGCAGTTAGCAGTGGGAGCTGAACTTGGAAGAATGCCATTAGATGGAGACGAGGCCAAGTGCAGCCTACGGAGCAGAGGGAGGATGCTGCCAGCTGGACACTATAGCATGAAGCAGGCAAGCAGAGACAGCTGAACCGTGAGCCCACACTGAAGAGACACTCCTGCCTGTTAGGTTCCTAGTGCCTGCTTGGATCCAGGGCCACTCTTCAGAGTCCCATCTTCCTGAGGCCTGGAGGGTCAGTTCTTTCTGGGTAACTACATGTCTCTCGTTACCAGAAACCCTCCATTCCTTAAGTTGATACATATGGACATATCTGTGAACATGCATACAAAAGTACCTAAGTAGTGCTACCTCTGGTTTCATCTGCCACTATTCCTACATTTACACTAACTCCAGCCTAACTGAACCACCTTTTGCACAAACATGCCCTGGGCTCATTCCCATGCTGCTGCAGCCTGCCAAAACCAAGCTCCAAAAATCATCTCCAGTGCCATTGAAACCAGGAAGTCTGTTGGACTAAGTATAGTACTTTCTTCAAAAACCCACAAACTTTTATTAAAGAACTAATATCAGAGAAGAACTAGGAAATATAAATAAGCAAAGGGAAGAAAAATTGTACCACCCCAAGAAAGTCATTGTGATATTTTTGGTTATCTCCGTGTGTCTGGAGGAATTCTTGGGCCCCGCCATTTTTCTGGTCTCTCTTAAGAATTATGGAATCACGTTCATTTTTTCAGGTAATACGAATTCCAGTCTAATCGAATGTCAAAAACTTCAGCATCTTATTTTCTTTAAAGCTCCCTCCCTCCCTCCACCCCTCTTCCCCCCTTTTCACCTACTTCAGCATCTTATTTTCTTTAAAGCTCCCTCCCTCCACCCCTCTTCCCCCCTTTTCACCTTCAAGTATGCTGTAGGCTGGGGAAAGCCACTATGGGGAGAGGTGTTTCTGTACTTGATTGCTCTGCCTTGCTCCAGTAGGGAGGCCAAAGGAGGCACAATGTAAGGGAGCAGAAAAAGACGGGACTAACCTGGAATGGGTGCCCTCAGGGGTGTGGCCAGTGTTAAATGCCAACTCTTTTCCCCATGGAGAACTTTGGTGAGTTCCTTGCCCAGTCCCCCCTCGGGGGACTTGGCTACAGATCCCTTTACTTGGGCCATTCCTCCTCTGGCTAATGGCTTTACAACTACCCCTCCCAGCTCTTGGCTTCTAGTAGTCAGCTCTATGTCATAGTCCCCTTGCTTCTCCAGGCTGGCGTCTTGAGCAGGGTCCGTGTCTGGCCCATACGAAACATGCATTTTGCCTTGCTGCCATTGGGGAGGGTACACGTTGCTCTCTCTGCCATCAGGGTCAGCTCTCATTCTCTTAGCCCACGACACCTGAGCCAGGCTGGGCTTATTTTTTGCTCCTCAACCACACAAGCTCAGGCCTTCTCACTAGCTGTAGCTTCCTCCTGGGAAGATTACCCACTTTCCCTCTCTCCCCATATTCTGGCTGGATCCATTCTAAATGAGCTTAAATGTTGCCTGTCACAGAGGCTTTCTCTGATCATCTATCCTAAAGTAACAACATATTCGCCATCATGTCATCTCTGTGTTAATTCTCTGCACAGTACTTACCACCATCTGATATTTTTCTAATTTATGTAACTGGTCTGATGAAGGACACTCAAATGGAATAGTCTAACAACAATTTTTTGGTGGTTTTTAAAAAACTACCTCTCTTCTTTGTCAACCTCTCTTTTTTCCTCTGGTTAGAAAGCTTCCTTGATGTTATATTATTTTCATAATATTTCAGTCGCATGGTTGTTAAAAGTGCCTTTTCTGCTCATTTAAAATCTCATATTTGCTTCCAGCCTCTTCTCCCACTCAGCACATGCTAAACTTATAGCTCAAGGGAAGCAGGGTGTTGGGATGGGTGTCTTCCTGTCTTGCACTGCCACTCTCCCCTACCCCCTGGTATTGGGGAGAGAAGGAAGGAGACAGAAAAGATGTTAGCTTAAGTGACTGTGCGAGAGTCCACCACCAGCGTGGCTTTCACGGGTTCAAAGGCTTGGAGGAAGAGCTGATGCACAAATGATACACAAGACGAAATATTTTTAATACCGGGGAAACCAGAGGAAAACTCAACCATAGCAGTCAAGTTCTCTCCTGTTGCTCCTTTCCCAGCTGCTTTTATTAGCTAGAATACACAATTGCCTTTAGGAATGCAAACAGACATATCAATGGTAATGTTTAGTAAACAGTAAGATTGTCAGGTTTTGGGGGAGTTTGCTTTAGGCCATTGAGTCAGCAGCAGGTAATAAAATGTAGATATTCACCCTGTGAATATCAAAAGGAGTCCTGGTCAGCCTCTGCCAGACTCCTCACATTTATATCAATTACTGTTGATCTTGGTCTCCAGCATGACTGCCCACAGAAAGCTGACTATATTCTCCTTGACCGATTACCTTTGCAGCTTGCACATGCTGCTGGTAAGTAGGTTGCTGTTCTTTCGCATGTTATTGCTTCTCTATTCAACACTGGCTCTGAGTACCAAGAGTAGGGCAGGGATTCAAGTGGTTCTTTCCCAAAGGCCATCTTTTGGATCTTTGGATGGCTTTGTGAGGTGTCTTTAAGATTTCTCTTTCTACAACTTTTGCTTGATGATGTCCTCCCATTTTTGTTAGTTTTCAATTGCTATTTTTCCCCACATACCCTAACAGATTAGTCAAATGCCCAGCAATTTTTAAAAAACATGTTTTTATTGATTTTTAGAGAGAGGGGAATGAAGGAGAGAGGGAGAGAGGAGAGAGAGAAGAGAGAGAGAGAGAGAGAGAGATCCAAGTGAGAGAGAAACATCGATCATCTGCCTCCTGCATGCACCTGACCGGGGACATGTGCCCTGACTGGAAATCTAACCGGCAACCTTTCGGTGCACAGGATGATGCTCAACAACTGAACAGCACGGGCTAGGGCGTTCCTTATATATTTTAAAAAGGTAATTGTATATGGTATGTGTCCAATTTTAGGAGTAATAAAATGTATACATTCTCCATTAAAAAAACTTCATAAATCTAATTAGTTTCATGATATTTTTCTGAGTGCATATGTTATGGTTTACTTAACAATTCCCTTATTGTTTGATATGTTGATGGTTTCCAAAACTATTGCTGGAGATATTTTTGTGCAAAACACTTTTTCTATGCTTTCGATTATTTTTCAAGAGTGTTATACTGAACTGGACTCCCAGCAGCTATGGACAAAGGAGCCTTGCCAACATTGAATACTTTTATTATTTAAAGTATTGCTTAACTTGATTACCAAAATGGCTATCTTTATTTTTAAGTTTGCTTTTCTTTGATTACTAGAGAGACTTGACTATTTTCTCACATGTTGTTAGCCAACTACAACTGTAAATTGTATACTCCTATCCTTTGTCCAGTCATTGACTGGGGTGTTAGAATTTATTTTAGTGAATTTTCAACCTACAGGGTGTCCCAAAAAATGTATACACACTTTAACAGCTGGTAGCTGAATTTTAAAAATGAAATGTATTTTAATAAACACTGTATTAAAATGTATTTTAATATACATTTTTAGGGACACCCTATATTTATTAACCCCTTGCCATTTTTTTTACTGGACATTTCAGCTTTCTTTTTATTTTGGTACTTTTTATGTTTTAAAATTTTTATTCATTTGGATAATTGGTCTGTTGATTGGATGGGTTTTGTGTGTGTGTGTGTGTGATGTAACTCACTGATTTTTAGTTTAGAAAGTATATCCACGCCCAGAGATTTGTCAACTCTATATGTTCTCTTATCACTTTATGGCTATCCTTGGATTTACCTAATTATGTGACATAAAGTATTTAAATTATTTATGTACCTCAACAAAGATTTTAACATCACCAAAAATATTTTCCCCAATAATTTGGAATGCCTCCTTTAAAAAGTATTTAATTCTTATATAGAATTGTCTCTTTTTCTAGGGTAAGTATCTTAATACATTGATATGTTTGCCAATTTTGGTGCCTCAATCATAGTGATAATTTTTGCAGCACTATAAAATGTTTTCAAAACTCATAAGGCTAATTTCTTTTCACCTTTATTTTTTTTCAAATATTGACTTATTATTTTCATGTATTTATTTTTTAAGGTGAACTTTAAAATAATTTTGTTCCAAATCTCATTGGGATTTAGGTTACAATTGTGGTAATATAAATTAATTTGGGAGCAAATGACATCTTTAAAAACTTCAATCAAGAAAAATCTTTTTTTAGGTCTCTTATTTTTCTCAGTAAATGGTATAATTTATTTTCATATTGGTAGCACACACTCCTTGTTGAAGTTTCTGGGTATTCATGTTAATCTGGCTCTAGTCATTGGATTAATTATGAGATTACTCATAATAATGGATTGACTGGCCCAGAGATGGCTGTACTGTTGAGCCTCATTGAGACTGGAATATGGCTTGGGACTTGGAAGCACCCAGCTCTAGCTCTATGGACAGTTTTCTAGTTTTCATATCAAAAGCAGAAGTTTGTTGATCTTTTGCCACTAGGATATTAAAGCATCTCGCTGCCTAGTTCCATGTTCCTGCGGTTGAACCACCTAGCCATTTACTTGTTAATCTTTTCTCATTCTCACTGCTTTGGCTTACTCAAAACCAATTTTGACTTCCCTTCACCCATGGCCCATCTTGGCCCTTCCTGCCTCACAGCCACTCTCACATTATGAATTCAGATTCAGTTCCCTTTACAATCCTTTAGGCCTCTGGGAGGTAATGGCTCCTGGCTTTGCTGGCTGCAGAGTACCACATCTTCCCTTGTTAGTTTCCTTCAGCCCTGCCCACACCATTGCACACAGTCCAGAGCATTGCAGTGTGGTACATGGCTGGACTGGCACCTGCCCCAGGTCTGGCCTGGCCAGGACACGCCCATCTTCCAAAGGTGAGAGTCCTGATAATGTTGGAGGTGAGAGATGGAATCTCATTACTGTTCTTCTAGCCTGTGGCCCACTCTGAGAAACAGAATGGAGCTAGTCCAATAGAACTGGAGGAAAATGGATTCTTTTCAAATTATAAACTTTTTACTTACAAAAAGTTACAAAATATTTCTTTTTTTCTTTTTTTTTTGCCACGAGTGAAAACTTTATTGCTCCAAGCACTTTACATGAATGCCACCAACACCTCATTGGGACAAATATACAAAAAGCACAATCTTCTCAACTTCTTAACGAATGCACCACACAGACGCTTCCCAGGCTGCACCCTCAGCAACACAGATGCATTTCAGTGGCAGCAGCTGCATTTGCTTGAGCTTCCTCTGCAGATGCAGCCCTGGGCACACTTGGCACAGCCCCGGGGGGTGAGGGGGGGAGCAGGAGCAGCGGCTTTTTCAACATGTTTCACAGTTGCAAGTTGTGCATTGGCAGTCATCTCTACAGATGCATGTTCCTCCAGACAAGCAGGAGCATTGCCTGGGGTCCATGGTCCTGGTGTCTGAGAGGCGCTGTTTGTGCTGGAGAAGGGAGGCTCTACAGAATGTTTCTAATAACACTATATAAAAAATTAAAAGTGTATAATTGAAAGGTTAAGCACAAAGGAGTGTAAAATTCAAAGGTTAACAAATGATAAAACAGATGCCCATGCACTCGTTTTTCCAGCCTGATTACCACATATAGAAGCCCTGGGAATGGTGGTCAGCACTAGCTGAATAGCTCCTCAAATGCTCCAGGACTTGCAGATTATCTGCCAAAATGTGCTTCTTTTTTCCATGTTTTCCCAAGCCAGTGCAGTTACTAGACTTCCAATGTCAGCCCTCTGACGTTTCAGGGTCTAGTGAGGTTGGTGTAAATTGACATGAACAGCAGGTACACATAGCAACCAAGCAGTGAACATGTGAAACGTTTTATTATTGATTTTTAATAACCTCCCATTTTTCTTAAAAAAAAACAACAACCACAAACAAACAAGAAGCAGGTTCCCATGAGGAAAGTAGCCACTTTACTTCTGCTGAGACATGGTTTTGATCTACTCGTAAATAGCACGAGTTATTTATGGTCCAGCGTACTCTGGGATTCCTCTTACCTTTGGGTTCTGCTGACTGCTTTCTCTTTAGTGCCTCCTCACTTGTGGACTTGCCCTCTGTTGCTGAGTGTCCTTGCATATCTCACATTCAAACCCCAGAGGGACAAAGAATCTGAGTGGTCAGCAGGATGCTGCTGTCTGCTTTGGCAGAGCATTGTCCAGCTGCCCCTCCTCAGTATTAGTGTAGATGAGATACATTTGCAAAAACGGGCTGAATCTCATGGTTTGACTTGGACAATTCCCCGAAAAATGTTTACTCCGAGACCAGAAGGCTGCATCTGCCCCTCATTAGAGTCTGAGTTCTCCTGGACAAATGTTGCCCAATGCTGTGTTTTGCTATGCTTTCCGTGGCCTATAGTACTAAACAAGTTTTCTCTGACACCTTTCTTTCTCTCACCATGGTGTCCAGTCAGTCAAATCCTGCTGAGCTTATCTCCCAAGCACTACCAAATATGTTCACTCCTTTCTCTCCCAGCTTCCACTGCTTTAGTCAGAGCCACGGCCACTTTTGCCAGGACCATCGCTGTGAGCTCCTTGCTTCCAATCTCATGATCATAATCAGGGTCCTGGTGCATAGTTGGGCAGTTTGTATATTACACACAGGTGGCTGGCGCAGGAGGTTGGTGGGGCTGAAGTACAGCCTGCATTGCTGTGCCTTGGTGTGGACCTCTGTTTATTTGGAGAGAATATCTTTGTGATTTGCACAAAGATGCCACATAATCCTGATGACGTAGACCTGCACTGTCTCAGACAATAGTCACTAGCCATATGTGGCTATTTAAATTTTTAATTAATTAAAATAAGTAAAATGTAAAGTTCAATTCCTCAGTCATATTAGCCACATTGCAGATGCTCTGGACAGTGCAGATAAAATTTCCACGATTGCAGGAAATTCTGTTGGACAGAACTGGATAGACTCTGCTTCTAAACCATTCGCTGTGCAATTTGCTAGTGTGAGCAATCTTTAATGGAAATCTAAACATGTCCCTCCCTTGCTTAAAAGCCTTCAATGATTTCCGCTCCCGTCAGCAACGATCAGTTAGCAGGTGGTGAATCAATTTTGTGGGTCACAACCAGTATTAAAAACAAAACAGAAACAAAAAGAATAGAACGGAAATCACGTATGAGTCTTATTGTTTGATGAAATTTTTGTTTCAACTATATCTGTATTTCCTTGTCTCTATATCCAGACGTCCATCTCTCTATATTTCAAAGTCTATATGATGTTCTACTTGGTTGCAATGGAAAAAGTCACTAAGCTTTTCTTTCTTTCAACTCTGTGTCTTTGAATCGTCTCCTTGGACGGCTGATCCCACCTTCTCTTTAGACAGCTTTATCTATCCTGCCTTGAATGCTCCAGGGCAGGCTGCATGCTCTCTGATAACTCACAGCAGACTTCCCTTAACGGGGTTAGAATTCTGTCATGATTTATTTAGGTTTATTGCGGGCAGTATACTAAGTTCTTTACGTGCAATTATCTTAATCCTATTTGTATTTCAAAGAAGAAGCACAGTACCTGGAACATACTGGGCTCTCATTCAAAAAATATTTGTTCAAAGAATTAACATGGTAGGGCAGGAAAAATCAATCAGCTGTGCGGACAATATAAGTGCGACGCGGACTTCCGCCATCAGAGGGCGCCGGCG